AGACATAGATTTAAGCTTAATATACATGTGGGTATCGGTTATAAAATGCATCCGGGTTATTTGGGTCGGTTGAGAGATTATTGACGAGAGCAATATGGGTGATGTCTCACTTTACATTAGAGATAGCCTTAGTCTGAGCGATACGTGATGGTATTGATAACTGATTTAGGTCGCGTGCAATTGATCAACAAGTTTAAGTATTTGATGGGTAGAGTGAAATGCGATTTCAGAATGAATTTTTTAAGGTTGCAGATGATTGTTTATTGCTTTCTTTATTTGCTTTATTTACTTTACCTACACTTTTTCCACAAAACCCTTTTCCAAACTTAGAAGGATTGAAATTGTTGAACGGTAGTTTTTCTCTCTCACCAATCTTATATCACCCGGTAAAAATAATACTTTACTTTTTGCTTGCTGCTTTACTGCATCCAGCAAAATGGCACAGTTGCCGGAGATTGGTGTTGATATTAACTACATCGTGATAGTTTTACTTTCTAAGTTTTGTAAATATGTTTATAATGTGTATTTGTACATTTTCTCCAACTTGTTTATTTTGTACATTTACGTGATTTATACATTTGTATATAGTATACTTGTTTTGTTTCACGTTTGCCAAAGTGTGGTTAGATGTGTAGTTTCGGTTAGATCTTGAAGAGATTTGAGAGGAGGCGGGAGTGAAGCGTTTGGCTCTTCCGAAGCAATGTGTTGTTTTGTAAATATTAGGCGTCAAGCTTACAACGTAAAACAAACATGCTTTTATTGTTTTTCATTGTTTTCGTAGTGTGGTGAAGTTTGTTTAAACAAGTTGAAATTAGTCAAGTTCCAAAAATTAGTCAAGTTTTGTTTTCCACAAGCTTGTTGTGTTTAGATTGAGGAAGTTTGTATGTTATAAATATTGTATATTTGAGGTTGTGTAGGTGTAAGTGGAGCTTGCATAGTAGCTGCACCAGTTGCCCTGTTTTTCTACAACTAGTGTAGCGCGCTTAGCTCGTTCTGTGCCACTTAGCGCACCCTGTTGTGCAGAGTCATTGAATTCTTTTTAATTTTTTGCTTGTCTCTCCTTTTCCCACTTCACCCAAGGCTTTATAGTATAGTAATTAATGGTAATATTTTTAATTCTTTTGTTGTTTGGACCTAAATTTTGGTATGATTGCTTGAAGTCGCATTTGGTGATTTTTCGATTATGAGTGTGTCAACTTGCGGATGTATGGTAATGATAGTTTTTTAAGTTGGTACTTGTCAGGTACACGTTTATCTCTTTCTATAACATAACATGTTTATGAAACTTTTCATTTGTACAATTACCATGTCATTCATTCTTTTTGCATTACTTGCTCATGACTTGAATCACTTTAGTTCCCTTTTTACCCATAAATATGAGGAAGCTTTCCATTGTTCATATATGCCAGAGGCCACAATTCTTGTTTTAACTGGATTTTATTATGTTTAATATTTTGTTTGTGTTGATTGTATGAAGCATGAACATGATCAAGACATTTTTGTTTGATTTTGAGCACAACTACCCTAGCCAAATAGTCAATTTACATTGTGAGTGTATGATCATTAGTAACCCCTTTGAACCTTTTTATCCATGTCCATGTTGTTTTTGATAAATACTTATCTATGAGTGTTTGGTTCATCTTTTTGTATGGATATTGATTCTTTGTTTTCTTGAACCATCAACTATGATTTATGGTTTAAATTTTTACCTTGCATTATAAAGTATGGAGTATTTACGTTATGATATGATTGAATTCAAGTTGGGGAGAGAAATTTGTATGTGCTTATGTTGTGATTGCTATGAGGTTGTAAAAAAATAATGAAAAAAAAAGAGAAAAAAAAGTGAAAAAGAAAGAAAAGAAAAAGAAAGAAAAAAAGAGATTTTTTTTGAAAAACAAAAACAAAAAGAGTTTGAATAATATTGTGATAATATGTGATGTGTGTTGGTTTGAAATTTGGAATGAAGAAGAAGTTTGATTGAAATTACTTTGCTTGAATTTTTGTGAGTTGATCACTCCCTTAGGTTAAGGCAAGTTTTTGTTTCGATTAGCTTTAGGACTTATCCATTGTTTGTTAACCAAGCCACATTACAATCTTGAAAAGCCCTTGTGATTCTTGCCTTTGTATTTTCAATATAAGTTTTTAGATGAACGCATAATTGAGTCTTTTCTTTGCAAGATTGTGGATGAGTGTTTTTTGTCTCTCACCTTTGTGTGTTTTTCATCTACCGATGAATTTTTACTAGGTGTAATTCATGATTGAGCTTGTTTTGTTTTAGAATATTTAGTATGATTTTTGTACTTAAGATTCGTTTCGTTTACATGTTGTCATTGTAGGATTGTGGTAAGTATTTACTTTGCATGTGCAATTTTGTTTGAACTATATATTTGTTTTCTGTTTTCAAAACTTGTTGATTCATGATACTTTGGTTGATTACTTTTGATTCTTTGAGTTGTTTGACCTTGTTTGAGGATAAACAAGTTCAAGTTGGGGAGAGTTTGATAAGTGCAAATTGTAGCTATTTTCGTATATACTTTTTGTTGCACTTATCGACTCTTTATTGTAAATATCGATTGAGTAAACCTGACTTTTATGTAAATATGTTTATTTTGTGCTTATTTGTGTTTTTGTGTACATAGTGTACCGCTTAGTGCGGTGAGCCCGCTAAGCGCGGTCTGCTGAGATCAGTTTGTATAAATAGTTTAGAAATAGATTTTCTAGGTTTTTATCATCTCTCTCCCTCTTGGAGGAGCTATGGTCCAATTCTTTGTAGTTTAGTGGTTTAAGCAACATCATTGGGTGGTTCATCATGTCGATTGGTTGTAGGTGGTCTCGGATCATGTTGACACCACGAGAAGTTTTCTATTCATCTTCTTCTTCCCTATGTATCATTCCTATGGTAGGTGTTGTGTGTATATCTTTACTCTTATTGTATGTACATTTGTTGATCATGGGATTGTATGAAATCTCTTTTACAAATTAACATCGGTGCTTATTCTTGATTTTTGCTTAATCGTGGAGCTTTAGTTTGTCGTAGACATATGCTTTCTGAATCTCTTTCTTGAATGAATATCTATTAAGTCCTAAACTCTAGACATATATTTAGGCTTAATATTCATGTGGGTATCGGTTATGAAATGCATCCGGATTATTTGAGTTGGTTGAGAGATCGTCGACGAGAGCAATACGGGTGATGTCTCACTTTGCGTTAGAGATAGCCTTAGTGTGAGCGATACGTTATGGTATTGACAAGTGATTTAGGTCGCATGCAATTGATCAACAAGTTTAAGTATTTGAAGGGTAGAGTGAAATGCGATTCCAGAATGAATTTTTTAGACTGCAGATGATTGTTTACCGCTTTCCTTATTTGCTTTATTTATTTTTCCTGCACTTTTTTTGCAAAACCCTTTTCCAAACTTAAAAAGATTGAAACTGTTGAACAATAATTTTTCCCTCCCGTCAATTTATATGGACACGATACGATATAACATATATATCACCCAGTAAAAATGATACTTTACTTTTTGTTTGCCGCTTTACCGCATCCAACAGGAACCAATTCACATAGTACTTATTCCTTGAAGGCAATGCATAGAGGTTTACTTAATTGTGTTACAAGTACGAAGCTTGAAGCTTCCATTGTTAGGTGGTGGTCTAACAAGTACCTTTAGGATGATGGTCCACGAGCTCGGTCCATATGCTTAGGCGATGGTCCAGGAGCATGGTCCAAGCATGTGGATGAATTGGATCCTCACTTGTAGTGAAGTTATTACTCTTCGAATTCTCGATCTTATATAAAACCTTATGAACTAGAATATTATATTTAGTGGTTTGGTAGAGCCAAGTGAGTCTATAAAATAGGGAAACTCGCTGAGATTTAGTAATCTCACCTCAATCATATTGTTGATTTTCATGTACAGTGCAGAAGGAGGAAGATTCGTTAGAAGGCTTGTGTTAGAAGTTTTGGTGGCCGGAAGGCATGAAGATTGTACATGATGCTATGCTCCGATGTGTATTTATTAGAGACTTTGTTTATACATTCTTGTTGTATACGTTTCTTAGTTGTAGATTTGTAATGTATACGTTTTAGAATGCCATTTGTTCAGCTTTTATGTATTGATAACCAAATTTTTAATATCTTACTAATGTGATTCTAGACGCATATTAGTCGGGTATCATTGTTGGTATCATGGAAGGTCAACCCTCGACCCAGCCATGAGGCACCGTTAGCAATTTCTTTTCTTCCTCCCGTGTATGTATTGCTAGCCTGATTCTATTCCCATGTCATTTAGTTGTTGAACTTGATCAACTCACCGACTGAATATGTGATGGACCAAATCACGACAGAACCTCCATGAAGACACGTAAGACCGGAAGTCACTGGAATTCAACAGTAGGAGCCAGTTAAGCATGAGATTATTGAGAATTGTCATACTTGGATAGAGTGACACAGACGCAAGGCGGTCGGCAATCTCAGTCTCCATGGTAGAAGTCAAAGAACTAGAATTTCCAAGACCCCTAACGAAATGAAGTGAACCCTTCAGATGGTTCATGTGGCAAAGGAATTAGTCGGAAGGAGAATAGTTTGAGGCATAAGATTATATGGTCGAAATGTTCTGCGCGCGTGGGGAAAGACGAGTCACTTTGGTGAAGATTTGTCCTAATCAGAAAATCGAAGAGAGAATCAAGCAAGAGAATCCTATGAAATGGAGGACCTGTTGGATGAACAAAAAGTAGTCAAGTGTTGAGACACATCCCTACATTGTGTATGACTAGAGATAGGCATAAGTCTCAGTCGGGTGCTAGTAGGATCAGGTATGTTAATATCTAATCTTCCATATAATACTAAAACCAAATTTTCAAGACTTAGAGGATCCAATCCAATCATACAAACAACACTTTGTAAAAAACATATTGTCAAACAAGTAATTAAATTCGATAAATAAGAATATGCACAGTTCCTATCCCAGAAGAATGTAACAAATTAATGGTATCAAAACTTAGTTTCTATCAATAAGTTGACCAAGAGATAATTGCAATTGTTTGTAGACAGCATTCCAACCATTTTGAGAAGGGTGAACTCTATCCCAAAAGAATGAAAGCTCTGGATTCTCACACAAACTGTATTTCTTATTCCCATTATCATCCACACTTCCACAAGAAACCTTCAAGCTCTCTCCCTTACAACACATTTCTAATGGATTCATTAGTGTTGAATTTTCTGCACAATGGAGAACAAAAAATTAAACTCATCATCACTAATTTACATTTTCAACAAATAATAATCACACATATATTTGTCCTTTTAGAAATAACTATATAAAGATGAAAATAGCATACCTTTGCGATTTTTTTGCATCGTTGTAATCGTAGAGAGGAAAGCGTTGTAAAGGTCTAGTGTAACGAAAACCGATTTTCCAAGTTGTTGATTAAGTTGTAGCAAATTTTGGAGCAAAACTTGGTTGTGATTTTCAGATACCAAATTTAGAACATCAACACAACTGAGATGAAAAGTTAGTTGAGTTATTGGAGGCATACACCCAATAGGTTCCAATAACCCAATTGCTATTTTATTTATTCCTAAGTTATGGATGCGTTGAACATTTATTAATAGTTGCTTGATAAGCAAGGAAGTGAAGGATTTTATCTCCTATCAAAATGAAAAACAAAAATTAGTAGAAAAATTAATTACTTATGTCACATTTGCAACAAAAAAAAAAAGCATGAAGAAAATAATGTTAAACATTTACCGTAATGCTGCTATTCTTTATAAAGGTAATGTAATCATTTCCAGAAGCGCTTACAAGGGCAATAGAGAATTGAAGGTCTTGTTTGGTATAAACCTTTTGTTTGATTAGCTTCTCAAATGAATCGATTTGAACAGTCATGTTTGGTCCATCGACTAGAGTTGGAAAAACACCTGTCCCTCCATAAGCAAAGTTTATTCCATTTTCTAGAGCTGAGGAATTTCTTAATGAATATGGTGTTGGGGTTTCAATTTTCAGAAACGAAGCTGCATGCATGAGTATAAAGAGTAAAATGAAAGTTTAATTAAAACAAACCAAAGGGTAAAAAACAATGTGTATTGGTTAGCTTGTGCTTTGTTACATACCTATTTATTCTTTCAAATTTATGAAATAGAAATTTAGTTATTTATATTTTTAAAAACCAACTCATCTATTAATTTTTTTTTAATGTACACCTATTGAAAGACGCAAATATATTTACTTGAGAAATCTCTAGATGTTTGGAGAGAAACATCGATTAAGTTATATAGTTATCTTTGAATTAATTAGTCTCTTTGTTTCTTTTTAAGTATTATTTTCTTATTCATTATTTTTGAATAAAAACTATTTTTTTTAGTATAATATTTTTAATTTTTTAATAATTTATTTAACTTTTTTCTTTCTATGTAATAAATGATTATGGATAATTTTGGCAAAACAATAATTAATATTACTTTAAACTTTAAAATAATATTTAAAAACAATATATTTTTTTCTTCTAAAAAATAATATTTAAAATAATACGAAATATCAATTACATTTAATTGATTAGATTAATTAATTAATTATTTATAGTTCATTTCTGTTTTTTACCCAAAAAATTTCTACAAAAATAAAAATAAATGACTTATCCTCATTTCATTTCTACATTAGTTTTTGAATATAACCCTCTCTATCCATCTACTTTCTCTCTCTCTATTTTTGAATTTGTTTTTCTAAGAGAATTACCGTACTACTAAAAGACTAAAAAGTCCTTGTGAAAACGGTGTTGTAATTAGTGTAGCGATTAATTTGCCTTATTAAAGCGTGTGATTATCTTGTGAATTATATTTGTAAAAGTTCGGTTGAAGGTTCTTGAACTTGACTTGTGTAAATGCTCTATTCGAAGGTTCATGAGTTAGGTACATGTAAAATTTATATTTGTTGGTTCTTGAGCTTAGTCAATTTAAAAAGTCTTATTTATTTGTTGTTGACGTTTCATTAGAAAATTGTGTAAAAAGTTCAAGTGCATGTATTTTAATTGGAACTTTCAAGAGTAAATTGTTGGGGATCAGAGTAGGTCAAGATGTTAGGTCGAACCTGTATAAATCTCCAGTGTATTCTCTATATCTCATCTCTTTTTAATTTATGTTGTTTATTTTATTCCTGTTGCATATATCTTTTCATCTCTATTTTTTTCTATATTTTCGCTATAATATCTCTGGTTGTTAATTAAATAAATTTCTTTTCGAAGATCATAATTTTTATAAAATGTTTTTTATTTTCAAACAACACAACTCAACACCCTCACTCTCTTGTATTTGGAGTCACTTGATCAACACTATTTTAAAAAAATGGAATATATTAGAGGATGATGGCATAGCCTCAGTCACACTATTCTTTACATAATACAATCTTAACTATATCAATATTATTTTGATATCTAAATTTCATGGGATAGATACCATGATAGGATTTCTAGATTGGGTCCCATAATAGTTTCATAGCACCTTAGAGGATTCATACGAGGGACGAGTATATCATAATGCATAATGTGAAATTTTCCTCAAGTGTATAAATGATTATTTTTTTGTTTTGATGATTTGTGTATTGTGGTTTGTCGTTGTAGTGATATAATTTATGGAAACCTAGGGGGCAAGCGCCCCTTTACTAGATGAGTCGCCTAAGTCTTCAGGTTTCCTATCCACAACGCGCGATCATGTGTAGAGAGTTTAAGTTATCATTTCATAATGGATTTTTGGCATGGGTCATCCCTCTTATTTGAGAGACAATCAATTATGAGTTTGTTTGCAGATTGATGTGTTCAAACTCTATTTCTTCAACTAGTGTTCTCCTTGTAAATATTGCTTCATACTCAGCTTGATTTTTGGTGTTCAAGAATTTGAACCTCGATGAGTCTTCTATGACAAGTCCAAAGTTGTTTTTTAAAATTACGATGGCACCTCTCCCCCAGCTATTAGACGATCCCTCTTTGAATATCACCCATGTGTGATCTGGCTTAGGATGTGTGGGGATCATTTCCGCCAAGAAGACGGCAAACAATCGAGCCTTCAGCGCTTTCGTTATTTTGGAAGATACTTTAAACTCTGACAACTCTATGGCCCATTTTCTCAGACACTCAACCAAGTCTGGTCGGTAAAGCATCTACATCAGGGGCAAATATGTGTGAATGATTATTGAATGTGCGATGAAATACCATTTGAGCTTACGTGAGGCTATCACTAATGCCAGGCTATTTTTTCAATCATTTGGCACAACGTCTTTGCCCCTACATGGCCTTTGATACGAAGTATACAAGCTTGTGGCTAAATCCCGACTCTCTGATCAAGATATCACTCATAGCTTCCTCTTCAACTGTTAGATACATATATAATGTTTCCCCTATAAGTGATCGGTAAGTACTGGGGGTGTAGCTAGGGGTTTCTCCAGAGATTCAAATGCATCCTCTCAGTCTATGGTCCACTCGAAGTTTTCCTTATTTCACAATAGATTATATAAGGGAAAAACATGTTCGGTGTATTTTAAAACAAACTTATTTAATGCAATTAACGTACCGTACAATTTTCATACCTCCTTCTTCAAAGTTGGTGCGCTCATTCGAATCGTTGCTTCACACTTGTCCGGTGTTGCCTTGACTCCTAGTTCTGTCAGGTAGAAGCCTACGAAATTGTCAGCTTTTACCCTGAAGGTGCGCTTCTCTAGATTGAGTCTCATGTTATATTGTCGGACCCTCATGAACACCCACTGGAGGTGTTGAGCGTCGAGCTCCTCTTGACTGAATTTTACAATCATGTCATCCAAGTATACCTCATATGTCTCCCATATCACTTCTTGAAAAACCTTGATTATCATCCTCTGATATTTTACTCAACATTCTTCGATCGAAAGGCATGATGTTGTATTGGTAGTTGGCATTCCCGGTCATGAATATTGTCTTTATCAAGTCGGGCCCGAACATAGGTATCTAGTTATACCCTAAATAGGTGCCCATGAATGATAGACTAACACCCTACTTAATTATTTACAAGTTTGTCAATGTTCAAGAGCGGGTAAAAATCTTTAGGCTATGCCCTGTTAAGATCCGAGTAATCAATACATATCATCCATTTTCCCGAGTCTTTCTTCACTAGAACATCGTTGGATAGTCATTTCATACACTTCACCTCGCAAATGAATCTGGCGTCCAATAGGCCCTTAACCTTGCTTGCAATAGCCTCACATTTCTCTAGGGACGACCTCCTTCGTCAATGGTAGACATAGTGGGAACCAGAGTACAAATTCAACTGGAGGTACGCCACACTAGGATCAATGTCAAGCATCTCGTGTGGAGATATGGTGAAAAGGTCTATGTTGGTCTGGAGACATTTAATTAAGATGGACCTTACTTAAAGGGGAAGCTTGAATCCTACCTTTATCGATCGGGTCGGGTTATCGCCAAGATAGATAGACTCAAATTCACCATCTGGAATAGGCCTAACTTTATCATCTCGAATGTCTAGGTCAAACTTATTGGTATTCCTCGGACCATCTTTTGCTCCTGTCGCTGATGCGAGAATATTCTTAAGGATGAGCTTTTTGATCATATTTGCTTCTTCTAGGTCGGCACTAACAGTGGTCAGTCTTCCTTCATTATCATGATAGGATACCTTAAGGTGGACCGAAGATGTCATCGCGTCTAGCTTTTCCAAGAAGGACCTTTCTAGGATACCTATGAAGGCATTCATACATAGAACTATGAGGAAGTTGTGAATTACCTTTCTCTTATGCACTTTTTCTCCAATCTCCAACGTCAAATTTGTCGATCCACTCGAGAGAGTTCCTGAATCATTGAAGGCCAATAGATCTCCCCTGCGATATGGATCCAGATCTGTCTGCTGAAGGCTAGCCATTATAACGTCTTATCGAAGAGGATGTTGCAAGAACTTATGTCATCCACGAGGAATCCAATAAGGTTTTCGATTAGCTGTTGTAACCTTTAGAATTAGAGAGTTCGAAATTCCTTTTATCTTTTCACGATCTAGAAATCCTAACTTCAATATATCCTTTCTCCGTACAAAACTATTATATATCCTTAGCAGGACACATTCTGATGAATGACAAATATTGGATGTAGTTGCACCGCGGATCTCGTCGATCAATGATAATTTGTGGAGAATTGGACCGGAGATGGAACATATCTCTTGGACATGATTGATGGAGTTACCGTTGCTGCTTCCTCTGCTTCTGGTAGAGGTTTAGTTTCAAATCAAGAATGATTTGGTCGTAGAATTTCACGAGAATCGAAAATGGGTTTTGACATACGGCGTTATTGTTCCATACTCGAACAAAAAATAGTTGAAGTAAATGGTGAGGAATCCTAAACCCTAAACATTATATATTTAAACTTTGTGTTTGTGTTTTTTCTTGTGATTTCGTTATTATATTTTTGTATTTGTAAAAATTATTTTCTTTTCCGTTACGTTACAATGTCCATTTGATCATATTTATAGGTATTGTCAACTTGGTGCGGTAAACAGGATCGACCGAAGGGTAAGGCGAGCTAGGCCTTTGTCTTGGGCCTCAGAAAAATATTTTTTAAAGAGAATTTAGGCCTAAAAAATATATTTTTAGTATATTTTGACGAAGGATTTAACCTGCCACCCCATAAATTAAACCTGACACTCCTCTCTTTTCTCATAATGCCAAAAATGTCTCTAATAAAAAAGAATAAAATGACTGAACGAAATTTCCTGCAGTTCATTCAAAATTTCCGGTAATTCATTCAAAATTTCTGAAAACATGCATTTTGAAAATTTTGATAAGAAATACAAGAGTTTTACCAAAAATTTCGAAATTTCTGATATTTTTTTCCAAATTTTCAATACAGTTTTGAAATTTTTGGTAAAAACTAATGAAAATTTCGAAATTTCTGGTATCATTTTGAAATTTCTAGTAAAAACTCGTGTAAATTTCAAATTTTCTGATATTTTTTTCAATATTTCCGATATAGTTTTGAAATTTCCAGTAAAAATCTATGAAACTTTCAAAATTTTCAATAAAATTCATACTTTTTTTAAATTTAATAATTTTAAACAAAAATATAATTGTAAAAGCATGCGAAATGAAAAGTGTCAAATATAAGTGAGGGGATATGCCAAATTAAACGAGGATAGGCGAATTTTTTATCAGTTGTTTTATTTAGTTTAATTGGTTAGTGAATGGTTCCTTAACAAAACAAGAATGCCATGCGTTCAAATCTTAATGTTGTACAAAGGTCCTAGTTTTTACTATATTTTTTCTATGAACTAATAACTCTTTTGGTTCTTTTCCTTTTTCGAGAAACATTGCTCTTTCTTTTAACAAGGAAAAAAATTTTTATTAATTAAAGATTAATTTAAAATTAATTTAAATACATATATTGTTATTCGAGTAAAAAGGATTTTTTTTTCTATATAATTATAATGCCAACTTAATTTTTAATTTAAAATTTTAAAATATTTTTTAATCTTTACATTACATAAAAACTAAAATATAAATATTTTTTAAATCGATTATTTTAACAAACAATGATACCTTAATAAAAATGAAAATATCTACTATTGACTTTAATATTAGTTTCACAATAGATATTGAAAAATTTAATTGTAAAAATATATATCTTAATACATTTCTTAAAAACAAATATTTTAATTATAATAAATTAAAAAAAACATATTTAAGATATTTCTTAAATATTTTCTTAAAAAAACTAGAATCATATTTTTGACCCTGACAATAAATTTCAAGTTGTTGACAATTTAAATGAATGAAGTTTGTTTTGTTTTTTTTAATAAAATATTATTATGCATAATGTTTTGCCAAGGCGTCTTATCATATAAATATTAATTTAGTGCTATGTTATAATATATTTTTTCTAAATATATATCTGTGTAGAAAACAAAACAATATACCATTACTATTGAATATTTGTGAAATCTTTAAAATGTAAACTATGGATGAGATAGCTAAAAATTGAAATAAATAGGTATAAATTATTGATCCAGCCTTTAATATTTGATGTTATCATCTATTTATATCCATGTATTAATGTAAATAAATTTTTTATATTTATAAATCAAGAATTTAAAAAAAATAATAAAACTTAAATATTTGTAAAAAACATGTACAAGTATGAGTGGTAACAAGTAAGGGATTACCGAACAAAAATAAAACTAATTAAAACTAGTACGAAAAATATTTAAGAACAATTAATGTATGTAATTAAGTTTGATTTATACCAAAACAAAACATTAGAATCAATGCAATTTACTAGCATAGTGTGGTACAAGGAATAGATATTTGGATAGGTGTTTCTGTGAAAAGATGAATCTCTTAAATAGATATCATTCAATCTCTTAAGAATACATTAATTTACCAAATATGTATATATTCAATCTACTGTAAATTAAAAGAGAGAAGAGTGTTACCAATGTAATCCGTTAGAACACGACCATCAGAGAATCTTCCAGCAGGTTTCCCAGGATATGTCATTCCATAAGGAGGTTTATACGATGATGAGTTCAAGAAATTTCCTGTATCTACGTATGAGTCTCCAAATACAAACAATTTTACATTGTTGTTTTCATATACCCCATATGTTTTCTTAGTCCCTTCTACTAAATCTGCAACATTAGTTAATCAATAAATATAACACAAATATGAACCATTGAAATGACAAAGTCACATCTATTTAATTGAATCACTCCATACCTGTTGTTATTAAAGTGAAAAGAAGTGGTAGTAGTAGTAAATGGAGAAGCTTGATTACAAGTTGTTCAGCCATTGATGAACAAAAATAGATTGGTAATGTGGAATTGTCTACTCTTTCTGATCCTATTTATACTCTCTTTGCTCAAGAAGGGGAAGAGAGTTCTCCAAGATTTATTTGTTTGGTTTTGTGTCTGAGTCATTAATGATTTTTTAAAAATAATAATTTTATTTGAAGTATTATTGGTAAATATATGTTATTTTTTGGTATATATATATATATAAAAGGAAGGATGAAATTACACTAATATATTATACTAACAATTACACTCATTTAAAATCTTTGATATTATTCTAATTAAATCATAATTTCATTTTTTAATAAAATAAAGGTTTAAATACATTTTTTATCCATCTAGTTTGAGTATTTTAAACAATTAATCCTCCTATTATAAAATTCACTATTATAATCCCTTAATTTTGAGAACCTTTGAATTTTTATGGTTCTCCTCCACTTTTACACACACACGTGACATTGATGATTGGGATGAAAAAAATAATTTTAATAATATAATATTGATCACTAAGATAATTTATTAATTAATATTTTTTATATAATAAATTAATAATTAATTATTTTAATTAATACTTTTAGAAATTAATTAGTTAATGAATAATTAGCACACAAAAGTGTAATTGAGAATAAAAAATATATATAAAAGGAAATTTGTTTATAAATATTAAATTTTTTTATAGAAAACTTATCAATTTCATTGTTCCCTTGTGTATATTATTTCGAGTTAATTCATTACTCTTTATTGGTTTTTATTTTTATTTTTATTTTTTATGTAATTTTTATATGATTTGGAATGATATTTAAAATTATATCAATTTCAAAGTGTATCTAATATAAATATAATATAATTTTATTTAATAAATAAAAGTAAAGTTTGTTTAAAGTTCAGAAAAACTATACCTTTTATTTAAAAATAATTTTTTTATTAATAAATATTAAAAATCATATATTTTTTATAAATATTATAACAATAAGTGAAAATAATATATATATATTTTATTATAAAACTTGTGATTTGTTTAAAATTGAGAGTAAATTTTATTTTATGAAAAATAACATTTATTGCTAAGAAATATTAAAAATCACTTATTTTTAAGAAAAAATAATAAAAATCAAGAGATTTTTGTTAATATTTCTTAAAATATGTTATTTTAAATATTTCTTAATAAAAAAGTTATTTTAAATTAGAAAAATGTGTATTCTTAAGTTTAAACAAATTTAACTATTTTTTAAAACAAGATTGTATTTTGTTCGCAACTAAATTATTAGAAGTGTTTAAATTCAAACCAACCCAAATAAAAAAACAAAAACCGATCCAAAAAATTGAAAACCGCAAAAAATCAAAATTTATTGGATGTACTTTGATGTCATTTTATGAAAATCGATTGGTTCAGATCGAATTTTGAATGATTTTTTCAAAACCGATCCAAACCAAACCGTATATATATATATATATATTTTTATGTTTATTTACTTTTTATTAGTATGATATGTTATGTGAATTTATTATTAGATGATAATAATTTTTTTAATAATATTTATTAGTTTGATATGATCTATTTATTTTTATTATTTCAACCATAATCGATCTCTCTCACTTTATAATATTAACTTTTAATATACTATATGTTATATATTATATCAAATCTATGATTTATTAGTAGTTTTATAATATTAATAAAAATATAATGTGTAATTTGGATATTTAAAAATCGATCCAAATTAAATCGTATAAAATTGAATCGAGTCGAATTGGATTTTTTTTAATATATCATTCAAAATCAAACCGAATCACAACTGAATTTATCTTTGAGTCAGATGAGTTTTTACTTTAAAACCGATTCAAATCGAACCGCGAACGCCCCTATAAATGATCATGTACTAATTATTTACTATTTAGTTTTTTTTGTATGTTTTATACACATTTTGAGTATTTTTGAGTATTATTTTGTATTGTAATGTAAAAGGAATCAAATTTATTATTAAAACTAAGTGAATAGAATATGATTTAACTTAGAGAAAAAAGTGAAATTTATTTATAAATAAGAAGAGACTTTTTTTATTAAAAAATTTGAATTATGTTTTTTTAAGAAATATTTAAAATAATATTTTTTTAAATGAAGTATTAATTAATTGTTATATAAGTGTGAAAAATCTATTTTATTTTAGGTTAAATTACCGTTTTAGTCCTTTTATTTTGTCATGTTTATGAAACTAATCTCCATATTTTAAATTCAAATAGTTTTGGTCATTCAATTTTAAATTCAAATAGTTTTAGTTCCTTCTCATATTTTTTCATAGAAAATCGATAAAATTTTTAATTTTTTATCTTATATTTTTATCTATAAAGTTCAATAATAAATTTATATATGATAATTTATCATGTTTGACAAGTAATTATTCTCTTAAAAATATATATCATTAATTTTAAATGTAAAAATATGATAACGGGACCAAAACTTTTTAAATTTAAAATAAAGAATCAAAATTATTTAAATATAAAATAGAGAAGTCAATTTAGTAAAAAAAAAAAATAGGGGATAAAATTTGTAATTAAACAAATAAATTTATTAAGTAAATTATTTTTACAAATAGTTAATGTTCTGAAAAGTTAGTGGTCAATCATCTTCAAGTAGCACACACCTTCACCTTCGCTTCACTACACTCTCATTTATCAATGGGGCTTTGTGATAATGGCGATGAGAGAGAACAAAATATTCCGCAGACAAAAGCAGCAAATAGGATCTTCATTTGGATCAATTGAATGCTTTGTGTGCAAGTCGTCAATGGTACTAGAGATATGCATATACTTAAAGGAATTGGTGTTGACCAAGTATACACAATGAAAGAAATGGAAGAAAGTGAATCAATTGAGCTTTTTAGTTGGCACGCATTCAAGCAAGTTAAACTTAAAGAAGATTTTGCTGAAATTTCCAAAAATGTAGTTGAGTATTCAGGAGGATTGCCGCTAGCACTAGAAGTCCTTGGGTCATATTTGTTTGATAGGAGGCTAACTGAGTGGCATTGTGTATTGGAGAATCTCAAAAGAATTCCTAACGATCAACTACAAAAGAAGTTAAGAATAAGCTATGATGCTTTAAACGATGATATTGAGAGAGAAATATTCCTTGACGTAGCTTGTTTCTTTATTGAAATGGCCCGAAACGAAGTTATACATATACTTGATGGCTGTGAATTTTATGGAGAAATTGGAATAAATGTCCTTGTGGAGCGAAGCCTAGTGACGGAAATGCATGATTTATTGTGAGATATGGGAAGAGAAATCACTCGTGAAAAATGACTAAAGGAACCACTACAATGATGTAAGTATTTTATTTTCCATTCTCATTTTTATTAATACATTTGTATTTATTTCTCTTTATTTTGTATGAGTCTTCCATTAGTTTTTTATATAACATTTATGTTCTTGCAGAGGTTGGAGAATCTGAAAATTTTGAATCGTCATTCTCTTTATCTGACAAAGATACTGGACTTTTCAAACTTGCTTAATCTTAAACAACTAGTACTCACCAATTGTCCAAAGTTGTCAGAGGTTTCAAATAGTATTGGACATCTTAATAAAGTCCTTTTAATAAATTTTGAAAACTGTACTAGCCTATGTAGCCTTCCAAGATGCAGAAAGAATTGTGAAGGAATTGGAAGGAATTGGACATCTTAATAAATCTCTGTTTATTCAAATTGGAAGGAATTGTGAAGTCACCAATATGATGAAAGATATCATTTTACAGGTTTCATATAGAACTCTGTAGCCTCTTTGCATGCATCTAATACTTCTAATTTATTTTTATTTTTATAAGGCATAGCCTTTTTGTCAATATGATATTTCCAAACTTAACTAATAGTCTGTTTGAAGAGTCCTAATTCCTAACAAATATTTCTCTTCAAGTTTGAATTTATTTGTAACAATATATTTTACTTTTGGTTGTTAAATTATCATTACTTCTGATATTTTTTTCTGAAAGATCATAACAGATAAATAAATATATGGACCTATTTTCACTTTACAGAATATGCGCTTCAATGAGTATGCTAGCTGTTTTTTCCAAGGTGATAGTTATCCAAATTTGTTTGCCTTCAACTTCAGTTATTCTTCTTTGATTTTTGAAGTCCCTCGACTGCAAGAGTGTAACTTAAAAGCTATGATGTGTGTTGTCTATTCTTCCACCCCAAAAATCATAGAATCAGATGGCCTTAAAAACATGCTGGTGATAAATTACACAAAGGCCATCATTCAGCTCTATAAGAGAGAGGCATTAGTCTCATTTGATGATGAGGAGGGTGAGAGATTAGTTTCAAGCATAGAAGCTGGAAACAAAGTAGAGGTTGTCACTATGACAAACAAGCACATAGACAGCGTTTTTTTTTTTCCATAGACAGCGCTTTAAAGCGCTGTCTAAACCAGCACTGCTATAAGTAAATACAGCGCTTTAGATTAATGTAAAAGTGCTGTTATATGTCTCCTTTAGGCAGCGCTTTTACTTTAAAAGCGCTTTCTTATGCACCTCTTTAACAGTGCTTTCTCTTTTGAAGCGCTTTCTTATGTACCCCTTTAGCAGCGCTTTCTCTTTAGACAGTGCTTTTGATTATCTTTTATGCATCGTTTTAGACAACATTTTTCTTTAAAAGCGCTGTCTTTTCCCCATTTTAGGCAGCGCTTTTCCCCACTTTAGACAACGCTTTCTCATTAAGCGCAGTCTAATATTCACAATTTTTTTTAAATATTAGACTTATTTTCACTTACAAAAAGCGCTGTCTAATATCTACAATAAATTTTCACCATATTTTGCACCAGATTTGGTAGCTTCAATCCAATATAAATGCACCAAATTTGCATATACAAAAAATTTACATATATACAACAACAACTTAATTAATGATACAACTTGAAAATTCTAAAATTCTAAATTGATGTTTAATCTACATATTACTATCTTCAAGAATTTCTAAAAAAACAACAATGAACTTGTTAGCTCTATCTTCTACATTTGCACCTATAACCTGAAACAAAACCAAAAGATCGAAATTCATACCATGATCAAACAAAACTTTATTCGAATTTATACTCAAAACTCGAAAGTTATACTCAAAATTCTCATCAATGAAAGAAAGACAATATACCTTATAAAATTCTCAACTCCATAATGAATTGACACCATTCCTCTATAAGTTCATCCAATTGATCTTTTGAGTAACGAGCATAATTGAATTCGTCAAAGTACTACATAATAATATAACATAGTATGTGATTTAGTTAAAACACTATGCCATTTTATGAGAAATATTAAAATAATCCCTAAGTTAGAAATTCATATCGTGGATGGAATCTCTATTCGGCCCAAAAGAAGCGTTTCTTTCATAAACCTCAAGATGAAATAACAGCAATCTATACCATTACATTGACGAGGACACTACACATGGAAAGAAAATACAGATATATACCAGGATATATCCCTTAACTTGTTTTATCAAGTATCATCACTAATATAATCAAAATTATGAAAATATACCTGCACTCTGATCCACGTAATGTTGTTGGCTCTACTCTTTGGTACTTGAATACCTCTTTGTGATTGAAAAGCTTGTAGAATGCAATAATAAAATATAAATGACTATTTAGAACAATCTCACGTAGATAAATAAATATGCACACGAAAATTTAGAACAATCCCACTTACGTATCAATCATCTTCTTTAAATCTGGGTATATTGTCCAATCATTGTATAACGAATCCAGATAGTATACAATTTATACTACAGGATTAATCGCAAGCAACAATCAATGTTAACTGTAAGATTAAACAAATGTTAGATGAAAAGTTTCTACACAACGTCAAAAAACGAAAAATTATAATAGATGAAGTTAGGATGAAAATCTAACCCGTGACCATTATTATATGGTAAAAAGAACAACTTTTATGTATCTTTGTTGGCCACAAATAAACCGAGTACATACGATATGACATCATCTGGTTTTGTTAGGATTAACCTTGCGCTGACGATGTTGGGAGCTAAGAAAGTGAATCTTTCTTCCAATTCACGCGGGCGCATCACTTTGTCATACATAAACCTTAAATAAAAATATCATTAAAATTAGACTATATTCGTCGAAATGAGTAAATAAATTGTTCATTTAACTAAACAAAGTTGATCAGAGTATACCTGATGTATCTATCGATAACACTGAGGCCTAAAGTCAAATGTTGAAAAACTTGATCTGTATCTTCTCTACCAATTGCTTCCATGTATTCATAACCAAAAATGTATGCCGACATAGGTATAAGATGTGTACCACCAATTGGAATATCTGTTATTCCTATATATATCCTAAGGCACGACCTATACTGAGAAGTAGGTTTTTTGCTAGCTGTGGTCTTCTTACCCCTACTGACTTGTTCAATCTCTTTAGCATGCATCTAAATATCATATAATTAGTTAGGTGAAGTATAATATCATTCTATGCATAAATATCATATAATTGTGTTATACCTCTTTTTTTGATGCAACTGACTCGGTTTGCCGCATCATCCCCTTATCTTTTGATTTGGATTTTGTAGGAGTCTAACATTACCATGTAAAAAATGTACTTAAAATGCTTGTAAAATCTTTGAATACTCAAAGGTTCATAATGGTTTTAAGCATACCTCATCATCTACGTGAATGAGGCTTGACGGCCATACAACATACGCACCTACTGTTGGTGCAAGATAATGAAGTGGAAGAAGAAGAATGAACAAAGAATGATAACAAGAAGACTAATGTTGTATATCAAAATAGAGGAGATAAAGTAGGGTATAATATTGATAGCCTAGGATAGCATATTTATACTAAATATTGAAAATTCCAAAAGGCCCTATTAAAGGATAAGCATTGGGAATTGTAGAAATTAACTAAATTATCTTTCCAATATCATCATTTAATTTAGATTTTCTATCAGAAGCTAACAACACCAATTTCATCTCTCAAGCGATGAAATTGGTTTGTCTTAACTGCTTTCGTCAAAAGATCTGCTAGAACTTCTAACACTCCTTTCTGCACTTGACTTCTGAGAAAATGATACTTCGTCTCAACGTGCTTGCTTCTTTCATGTAGCACTGGATTCTTGGCAAGATCAATTACAGAATTATTATCAATCATCAGCTTCACAGGTTCCTCAACTTCAACCTCCAGATCATGCAAGAGATTCAGAAGCCAAACAGCTTGACAAGCAACTACAACACCTGCGATATGCTCAACTTCACACGTTGACAGAGCCACGACAGGCTGTTTCTTGGAACTCCAGGAAATTAGACCTCCCAGAAATTTAAACAAGTATCCAGAAGTACTTCTCATGTCCACTTTGTCTCCACACCAGTCAGAATCAGAATAACTTACTAATTCTGGTTTTGTCTTTCTTTCAGAAGGAAACAACACTCCATATTTCAGAGTTCCCTTGATATATCTCAGAATTCTGACAGCAACTTGGAAATGAGACCAGTTTGGATTACTCGTGAATTTTCTAACCAACCCAACTGCATAACAAATGTAAGGTCTAGTATTGTATAAATACCTTAGAGAACCAACCAACTGTTTGAAGGTTATAGTATCAACAGAATCACCATCAGAGTCAGAATCCAATTTTTGATTGGTTTCTGATGGTGTCACATCAACTTTACAATTATGTAGCTTAAATCTCTTCAGAAGTTCAAGTTCGTAATTCAACTGATGCAGAATGATACCCTTCTTTGAGTACAGAATCTCCATCTATAGGAAATATGTCATATTTCCTAGATATGTCATCTCGAACTCATTCATCATAACTTCTTTGAACTTATTTATATCTTCTGGGAAGCTTCCTGTTAGCAAAATGCCATCAACATAGAGACACACCAAAATCATATTGTTATTAGAGTGTTGCACATAAATGTCATATTTCATCTCACATATCTGAAACTTCTGCTTCTTGAAAAATGAATCAATTTTCAGATTCCAATCTCTGGGCGCTTGCTTCAGTCCATACAGAGCTTTATTCACTTGTATACCATCCTTTCCTGATTCCTTTTCACAAATCCAGGAGGTTGTGACACGTAAGCTTCTTCCTGTAATGGACCGTTCAGAAATGCAGACTTCACATCCAGATGCATCAAAGGTCAATTTCTATTTGCAGCTAAAGCAATCACCAGTCTGATTGTTTCATGCCTAGCTACAGGCGCAAACAACTCAAAGTAATCTAGCCCATGTTTCTGAAGAAAACCTCTAGCTACTAGTCTAGCTTTGTGCTTGCCAATTGAACCATATGGCTTAAGCTTCAACTTAAAAACCCATCGGACACTGATGGCTTTTTTTCTTATCTGGAAGCTTAGTCAATTTCCATGTTTTGTTCCTTTCTATTGCCTCAAGTTCTTCTTTCATGGCATTCAACCATTCTTTCTTCTTGAGAGCTTCTTCAATGCCCACTGGTTCAAAACCTACTAACATGGCACACTGAACGACTTCTCCTTCAGAATCAACTTTATTATCCTGCAACATGTCAAAATCTGCGAACCTTCTTGTTTTTTGTCTGATTCTCTATGGTCTTTGAGCTTGTTTTGAAACTGCACCAGAACTACTACCTTCATAGTTACCACCTTCAGAGTTTTTCCTTCCAGAACTATGATCACCACCAGATTCTGGATTATCATCAGCATCTGGATCAGAATCAGATCCACTGTCAGAATCTCCTTCTGACTCATCTTCAGAATCAGATTCATCTTCTGATCCTGACTTATCTTCAGAACTTTCTAAAACATCTTCAGAAGCTAACTCTGGTGTTAGCACTACACCATAATCTGATTGAGACTTGTTCTAATCCCATGCTTCAGACTCTTTCACCATAATGTCTCTACTGACTTCAACTTTATTAGTTTCTGGACAATAAAGCTTATATACACCTGTACTGTGATACCCCACCAGCAACATTATTTTGCTTCTATCATCCAGTTTTTATCTTCTAGCTTCTGGAACGTGTTTGTAACAGACAGAGCCAAACACCTTCAGATGACTGACACTCTGCTTATCTCCAGTCCATTTTTCTAAAGGAACAACTTCCTTCAGCTTCTTCGTTGGACACCTATTCAGAATATATGCTGATGTGGCAACAGCTTCTCCCCATAACACGTGAGGTAGCTTTTTTTCTTTCAGCATGCTTCTGGTCATATCAAGCAAAGTTCTGTTTCTTCTTTTAGCGAGACCGTTGTGCTGAGGAGTATATGGAGCAGTAACCTCATGTTCGATTTCATTCTCCTCACAGAACTTTTGGAACTCTATAGAGTTATACTCACCTCCACCATTTATTCTCAGAATCTTCAACTTTTGACCACTCTGCTTCTCAGTCTTCACTTTGAACTTCTGAAACTCA